TCCGCCGTAAAAGCGCCTTATTCGTTTTTATGGGCTTTGGATTTATGTGGGGGGCAGGTTCTTACATTTTTTGGGGGGGGAGGGGTTTATATGTGACTTTTTTTTTTTTTTACACTTTATTGCTGTCACATAGGGCGCTTGATAGCACAGGCTTGTTCCTGTCTGATAGCAAAGAGGATGTGACATTGAGACAGCCTATTAGACTCTGCATGTTACCTATGGAATTCAAAGAAGCTGATGAAGTAGAGATCACTGACACACAGAAACTGAAAGTGATGTAACAGATATCGCTTCAGACCTGCTATGCCCGCACGAGGGACAGCAAAGCCTGGGATAGCCGTCGGCGGAGGGGGGCACGCACTCCCCAGCCCCGGGGGCACGCACTCCCCAGCCTGGGATAGCCGTCGGTGGAGGGGGGCACGCACTCCCTAGCCTGGGATAGCCATCGGCGGAGGGGGGCACGCACTCCCAAGCCTGGGATAGCTGGCAGCAGAGGGGGGCACGCACTCCCAAGCACCATACAAGCGATCACATGTGAGAGGCAGGAGAAGGGAACAATCTAGGACAACATAACTGATCTGGAAAGTGAGGGGAATTGGAGAATTTTTCCTAATCAGCTATGTTGTCCTAGATTGTTCTCTTCTGCCTTCTCCACACTCTTCACCCTTTTGTGAATAACCCTGGTAGTTTTGGTTTGTGTGGAGAGGTATTAGCACATCTGTCAGGTTTATATTGCTGTCTGTGGCCCCGTTAAGGAGATTCAGCCTCTATATGTCCTAGTGACCATTATCACTGAAAGTGAAATAAAATGTTGGGGTGTCATCAGAACAGGAATAGATGGGAAATCTTCCAATGGGGACATTAGTTCTGGTGAATTGCAGAGATTTTCCCCCTCTGGTGAAATTTCCTCTTACTTCCTGATATGGCTATCAGACAGGAAATGAAGGGAAATCTCCCCAATGGGACACAGATGACCAAAAAAAGCTGACAGGGGTTATAAACCTCCCTTACTCTTATCTAAAACTTTAAAAAAAGTTTGGGTCTTAGTTCTATTTTAAGACTCTGGTCTGAGCTCCTCTGCCATATTCATTACTGCTTCTGTATAAGTGGATAATACAGCACACAATATTACCTAATGCAATAAGTAACACAAGTAAGTTCTACTCACTGAGAAGTAACATTGCATTTACACAACAACATACAGTTCAGCTTTTAGCCGGGATTCTGTGTTCACAGGGAGGGGGAAACTCTGCAATAACTATTTCTGATCTAGATGAAACTGGCTCTGTGGAGGTTTTGTGCACCACATGGGACACAGCAGCTGTAAGTGACATCTCCTGAAGCCCAGAGAGTATGGCAGAGACAGTTAGTGGATCTAATCGGACGCTGGGTGTTTGCAGACAGGAAGTGTGGTGGCTGCAATGCAATTCAATAAAAATTGGAAGACATCAGTGGGGAGGGGGCCAAAAATTCAAAAGGAGCATTGTTTTACACCAGACACCAGAGGATGAAGCAGATGGGATGGAAGCGTGAGTCTGGAATTCTGCTTTGATCATTTTGAACTGGGTGGTCTCCCTTAAAGAGGACCTGAACTGTGGAAGATATGAAGCCAGCATTCCATACTGCTGCAGCCGGTATGGCTCTCGAAAGTGTTGAGAATACCCAAGAGTACACAGGAAGCCTTTTGCTCATCCCTCTGCAGCACACCATTGGCTTTCCAGTGCATTGAGTGGTATGCCAGAGTACACATAGATGCAAAGCTCATGTATGTGGCACTTTAAAATGGTGGTCAAGTAAACAAGGCAACAAAGCCTTCATTGTAAAGATCCTGCATTGTACTGGCAGGTTCCTTTCAATGTATGAGCTAGTATTCATGTGATGTAGGAGGACAGAGATTGTCTGTGTTGTGTCCCCATACCCCACTCTGGACTACTCATTCCAGATATTCACCACACACACTTCTGGCCACCTTGAGGGAAGATACAGGTATAGATTTGTGTTGGACGTTATAGAATTCCAGAAGGCTGCCAGCCGATTTACTACTGATTTATAATGGCCTTGATTGTTTTTTATTTTGGGGGGGTTTTGGTGGACTTTACCTTTAATTGGGTACTGACATTCACTGTAAGATTTACCCAATTAATTTATAGGTGAATCATATGCAGTTTGTATTTGTTTGCTGTCTGTGTAGCCCTCAAACAGGGAGAAAAAGCAATGAGATTTACAATGAACAAACTTGATTTATTGAAGCTTTGGAAGGTTGACCTTCCTTCTACTAAAAATAACCTATCAATACTATCCCTTCTCCCACAATGCACTGGGCAGTACTTTAGCTACTGAGATACACCAGGCATTATCTGTGCAGCCCTCAGGTACCAATATAATGTTCTTCCTTTTCTTCCACTGCAGGTTAGAAAATATAAGGGGAAATCCAAGGAGTTGCTGAGACCCTCAAACATGGCAAGTCAGTACCATTGGGAGCCCCTTCGATTTAGAAGCCTGAAAATGTAGACCTCAGGTAAAGATAATATTGTAAAATACGGTCTTGAGAATTACATTGGATACATCAAATAATTCTATTTATAGAACTACTTCCTCCTAGCCCATGCACATATAACACAGCTTACACAGATACGTTGGCTATAGATGACATTTAAAACAAATGATGCTTAGGTAACAGACGGTCATCCTCTCCTCCCATCTTACCCAACATATAAGAGACCTATTACCAGAAGGCTCAGATTGTCATCTGAAAACCAAAACTTAAAGGGTTAATAAAGCCTCCATTTTTTTTTCATATATCTACTGCTGGCAAGCACATATATGCAAAAACGTATTTTTTTTTAAAAAAAACGCTTTAAAAGCGGTTTAAACTTACCTGTGTCTTCACCGCGTGCTCCCGTCCAAACATCTGAAAAATCTTGGGGCGGGCGCATATGCAGTTCGGATTTTTGGTCGGGAGACGAGGAGAGACACAAGGTAAGTCTATGGACAGCGTGCACCATCATGCAGACACCGTGGGACAGGAAGTGCCAGCAAGCACAGAGGAGTCAGGACTGGATCAGAGACCAGCAGCAGCGCTGGAGGGACAGATCAAAACGACAGGAAAGAAGAAGATGATCGGATTAAGAGACATCATTTAAGGTAAGTGCTAACATTGACATTGGGGGAGGGCAAAAATATATACTTTAATGTGACTGATTACAATTCTCACTGTTGCATTTGTGACGTCACTTACTACATACTAGATCAGGGGTCTGCGACTCCAACCCTCCAGCTGTGCTTTAACTACGAATCCCAACAGGCCTCTGCTTCTGGGAGTCATGCCTGTGGCTGTCAGTCTTGCAATGCCTCATGGGACTTGTAGTTCCACAACAGCAGGAGGGCCGGAGTTGGCCACCCCCGTAGTAGACTCTCGCTAATTTCACATATGCAAGAATTCATTGGTATTCCAAGTTAAAATCACTTTTTTTTTTTGCTGTATCTACATTAGCAAGATGGGTAATCAACCAAATTGACATTTTAACTCAAAGCTGTCAAGAGATGTTGTATATGGGAGATAGATAGATAGATAGATAGATAGATAGATAGATAGAGTATATGTATTTTTGTTTTATAGAAAATGATCTTTGTGTATGAGAAATGGAAGTCTCTGTGTTACTCATCGGATCCAGATTTTAGCTGTCTGGCACAGGTCCAGCACAGGACAGAAAATGAATGCATTGAACAGATTGGTTGCTATGAGCCAAACAGTTTGCTTCTCTACATCAAAAAATAAATCCAGCACAGTGTTCAGGAAGCTCAATCCTAGCGCGCTCTTAAGGGAGATAGGGAGATAAACAGACCTCAGATTGAGGTTATTTGAGTGAATCTTCTGACCTTGACATAGGTGCTGAGTTTACTGGACAGTATTAGAAGCTCACTGAGTGCTTGCAACTGAAATGTTTCCAGTTTAAAGAGACCCTGTCACTGGACCTCACTTTAAAATTAAAACCCTTTCAACAGTAGAGCATAATAAATGCTTACAGGTTTCCCCACTGCTTCTTTAAAGAAGAACTCCAGGGAAAATTATTAACCCTCGTAGTGGGGCTACCACTGCACTGCTCGTTTGTGTCTAGGGAGGAAAATTAAATAAAACAAAAAGCTATGCCCACCTGATCCTCTGAACCGGCTTGCTCTTAGACCGGTCCCTGGAGCCTCTCTCCCCCTCTGCTCCAGCGGTCTAATGTCCTGTAAATCATGTTCTATATACAGTGTATAGGACGTGAGGACGCCGAGGGACATCGCATCGCTGCAGTGCAGGAGACAAGCTGGAGGGAGCGCTGTAACAGCCGGCCGACTCAGAAGATAACTGTTATTTTCAGCCCTAGACCAAAACAAACAGTCAACCCTTGCAGCCCCACTGTAAGGGTTAATAATCCTTTCCCCTGGATTTCTGCATTAAGGGGCCATTTACATTTTTGAGGTGCGTTAATGCATGTTATATTGTGCAATAATGTGTGTTGCATTGCGTTAAGCAGCCTATTGATAATAATGGGCTGTCCACGCAGCAAAATGTCCTGAGTCACAAAATATGTAACACATGGGAACGCGGCATGGTGCGTTGTGGCACACTGCAATGCATTTTTATTGCCTTAGTACGCTGGGTGATATTTAAAACGAATGGCGTGTGTTGCAGTGACACAGAAATAACACAACGTACCCAAAACAATATTTTCCATGTTGTACGCAGAGCCGGCAGCAGGCAGGAATCTGACACACCCAGAAGCATTGCTCAGAACATTGGGAAGAAAAGTTCCAAAGGCACAGTGGACGGCAGTAAATGTGTTTGGTTATTACTTCGATCCGTGACCTTGTTGGGGAGCTTTCATCTCACTTCTTGTCCCTGTGACAGCAGAACAGCAAATAAGGGGATCTGTTGTCATTGGGGCAGTAAGACAAAGACAGCGATAATAACCTGACAGAAGATCTAACCCTTCCCAAGTCTATACAACATCAAAACATTGGCTGAGATCGAGCTTTTAAACAGTCACACGATAACCAGAGCACTGAAGGTGGAGATACAATATAATGCAATATAACGTGCTCTTTGAGTTTTATAATAAGTGTCTTTCTGTTTCCTATAGAAGGCCCAGGCACTGAATCCAATGATGATTTTCAAGTCGAGTTCTTCGGGTGAAGAGTTTGTAGGAGATGGAGGATATGATCCCAGACCTGAGGGAACTGCACAAGAAGTTGCTACAAGCTGCCCCCCTACCTGAAGACCTACATAAGGATGCAGCACTGTTGGCACCATGCCTCCCGGACGACCCATCCAAAAGCTCCGGTAATACTGAGATAAAGGGTGCGAGTGTGTATTTCTATATTACTGCCAAGACTAAACATAGGTTTTTCCTAAATATTTGTAAAATGAAAATGTATATTTTGCATATACACTATATTGCCAAAAGTATTGGGACACCCCTCCAAATCATTGGGTTCAGGTGTTCTGTGAAATTTCCTTGCTACTAAATATTCCACGGTCATCTGTTAGTGGTATTATAACAAAGTGGAACCATCTGGGAACAACAGCAACTCAGCCACGAAGTGGTAGGCCACGTAAAATGACAGAGTGGGGTCAGCGCATGCTGAAGTGCGCAGAAGTCGCCAACTGTCTGCAGAATTAATATCTACAGACCTCCAAACTTCGTGTGGCCTTCAGATTGGCACAACAGCAGTGCGTAGAGAGCTTCATGGAATGGGTTTCTATGGCCGAGCAGCTGCATCCAAGCCTTACATCACCAAGTGCAATTCAAAGCGTGGGATGCAGTGGTGTAAAGCACGCCGCCACTGGACGCTAGAGAAGTGGAGACGTGTTCTCTGGAGTGACAAATCACGCTTCTCTGTCTGGCAATCCGATGGACGTGTCTGGGTTTGGAGGATGCCAGGAGAACGGTACTTGTCTGACTGCATTGTGTAAAGTTTGGTGGAGGGGGGATTATGGTGTGGGCTTGTTTTTCAGGGGTTGGGCTTGACCCCTTAGTTCCAGTGAAGGAAACTCTTAAGGCCTCAGCATACCAAGACATTTTGGACAGGTTCATGCTCCCAACTTTGTGGGAACAGTTTGGGGATGGCCCCATCTTTAAAAACATTTTTTTTTGTTTTATTTTCAAGTCATGTCAATTTTATGATTTGCATATTCCAACACTTATTTCAGGGTCTGAGCTCACTGTGTGTGTGGAGACTGTACCCAGCTCTTGGGTCCCACGGGATGTGACCTTGCTGAAGCTGTCACTCATCCAGATTTTAGTCATCAAGGCAGACAATCTGTGCATTGAACCTCACGTCAGATGTCAGTATTCCCGTGTACTGGAGCTGCTGCAACAAGCTAGAATAGAGGAAACAATAGTAAGAAATGACTGTAATTTTACTTTATTACTGTATTTGTATTATTATTTATTACAGGGTTTTATATAGCACTGACAATTTACGCAGCGCTTTACATACTGCCAGTCGTATCAGTCCCTGCCCTTAAGGAGCTTACAATCTATATTGTTCCTATTGCACACACATACAGGGCCAATTAACCTTCCAGCATGTCTTTGGAGTGTGGGAGGAGACCTGGAGTACGGAGGAAACACACAAGCACAGGGAGAGCATGCACAGCACTGCTTTGTACCAATGAAAATAGAAGAAAAAAACCCCCAGAAAATAATCTTGTCGGATGTTTGTAATGAGTGATATAAGTGTCCTATCATTAGATCTTACCTTGGAGTAGTATCTGGGGATCTTACCAGACCCTGTGTTTTTCTTGAATTGAGACAAGCTGCCCAGATTCCTCAACACTGTTATGTGCCTTGGGATCTTACAGATTTCTAGAGGTGCCTTTCAATGGAGAAACAAGAGAGCTTTCCTACATGTGGTGGCAAATAATATAATCGTAAGTGACCAGAAGCCACAACCAGTTAGTGTGGGTGGAAACCTTTGCTCCTGTACATCACAGGCACGCATTCTAATGGCCGTAACAGTAGTGGAAAAGGGCAGCAACCTCCAAACACTTCAAGGGGTAATATAATATGTGTTTCCCTGCTTACACCATGCCCATTGTACAATTTTATTGACCGATTTAGACCCAGGAGCCTTAATGAAGGAGAATGAGCAGAGTAAAAATGAGATGGTAAGAGCAGAGTGGGAAGTGGGAGGGATGTGCGGTTTTAAAAATCTAATTTGGCCATTTTCATGGGGGATATATCCATGAATTGTATTGTGGTTGTCTGTACAGTTTTTAGTCTGATTTATAAAAGTTATATTACAGTATTTTTGTTTGACAATATTTCTTAAATGTCTTTATAGATTAGACTGTTAAATACTTCTGATAAGGTGTTGTCACATATCTCCTCCAAGTGCCTCTCCGTTTTGGTGCTATATCAACTAAAATATCAGGTATGTCATTTGCTCTCTGACATGTTCTCTTTTCTGCACGTTGATGTTTTTCATCTTTATTCTTTGTCTGTATCTGATCATCGTACCTGATCTTTAGTAGTATAAAGCATTTACTTCTCTTTTTAGAGATTTCAAACCAAGCTCCTATTGTAACACCAGTATACAGATCGATATTAAACATGGTCAATCTTTTCTGTATACATGTCTCTTTCTAGAATGAGGTAAATACCCATTGGGTGCAGTTCTGTCTGAAGAGTCTGTGCCAGGATCCTGGATCACAAACCTTGATCCCATGTCTGACAACTCTCTTATTTGTTTGTAAAGGATTCCTCACGGATGTAAGAATACAGAAGGCAGGTAAGAGTTATTGAATGTAGATGTTTGCTAATATCGTAGCGTATGTAAAAGGCAAAGATGATTTTTCTCAGTGTTGCATAGAGTAGGGAAGGATTAGACCTTCTGCTAAGTTTTTCTTTATTTGTTCTGGTGGCCATTGTCCCCGATACAGAAAGTGAAGGAAATCCCGGCAGCCGCTGTCAGAATACAAAATAATTAGTAGGGCTTCCTTGATCAATGCTTGTATAGCGCTGATGGAGGAATCTGTTCTATTATTTTCGTTAGCCCACAGTGTATGGCCAGCTTAAGGTAGGGGTGGAAAAATTAAAGGAGAACTATGAGGCGAGTGAAAATCACTCAGCCTCATAGTTCGAGGCGACGCGTGACAATGAAACTGTCACACGTCGGCTCAATAGATCGGGAAGTGAGCGAACACATACCGTCGCTCGCTCACTTCTCAATCCTGTCCCTGCAGAGAGCCGTGACTGTCACTCATGGCTCCCTGCAGGGATTCCCCCCTCCCCTGTCCGATCCTCTAGCGCTGACTGGGTGGATCTCCACAGTAATGTGGGGGTCTGTCCCGGCTGCGGCGGTCTCAGTATACTGCGAGCTGTAGCTCACGGTATACTGAGCTTTGGGTCACGGGAGGACGATAGTTTGTGTTCTCCCGTTACCCTAAGGAGAACTATAGTTCATATAAAAAGGTTCTGTCCCTTATTTGCATGTGTAGCAACTTTCCCAGCCTAGTAGTTTGTCATCTCGCCTTGGCATAAATAAAAGGTCCATGGCCACCCTTACCTCTAGTGAACCTGGCTCCACTAGATGGCTACTAATGCCTCTTTTGTTGAGAACAGCATCCTGTGTCCCATCTGAGAATACTTTCACTTTGCTAAGGAGGCCTTGGCTTGTTTACCTTGAGCATAAGCCCCACCCACCTTTTGGCATTAACGCCTGCCCTCCTGCTGGCTCTTTTTGCGGTTAAAGTGCCTTGCTGTTTTAGGGAGGCCTCAGTGTCCAATAGAAAGACGTGAGAGGTGGCAGTGAGTAAGTCGGCTCTTGATAGAAAGTGTTAAGATTTGAATATATTGGAGCACCTGGGATTTAGGGCACCCAATGCAATGCAGAGGAAATCCAAAGGTATGTGCGGGCACCACTATTTGCCTACAGTGGTCAGCCTGTTTACTGCAGCACAGTGGCTTAGTGGTTAGCAATTCTTCCTTGAAGCACTGGGCTCCCTGGTTCCAAAATCCAACGCACTATCTGCACGTTCTCTCTGTGCTTGTGTTGGTTTCCTCCAGGTACTCTGGTTTCCTCCCACACTCCAAAGACATGCTGGTAGGTTAATTAGCTCCAGTCTTAATTGGCCTTGGATGTATGCATGTGAGATAGGGACCTTAGATTGTAAGCTCCTAGAAGCACTGTGTATATTGTTGGCACTATATAAATGCCTGTAATAAAATACTGACGGGCTTACTTTAAATGTAATTAACTAATCGCCACTAAAATCTAAAGGATGTTAATTTGCTTATCACATATGTATTCGTTTCACCATGACATGCCTCAAGCCACAAAGACAAATAGTTTGACCCTGTGTACTGTGATGTACGTTTACCAGAGAATAAATCGGGGAGCGGTGAAACCTTTTTGTTTTTTCTTTTTGAAACATTTATGTCCAAAATGGTGATCTGTGCTAATATGTTTTCCAGACCTTCTGCTGAGGATCTTGGTTCCTCTAGAAAATGTATTTGAAAGACACTGTTCTACCTTCATCACTTACCTGTCACAGACTCCTTGCCAGCCACTTGCACTAGCTGGAGAGCCCAGCGGCCAGCTCTCCTGTCTGCTGGATTTTATAGAAACCTTGGTTGCCTTAAGAATAGAGCTGAAATTAAATGTCTCCCTTTGTCAACAAGTTCTGTCTGCCATCCTGCCTCAGGCCTTGAACATCATCTCTGCTCCCGTTCCATACTTTATAAAGAAACAGGTCATACTGCTGCTGAAAAGATGCCTGCTGTGTAAAGCTGGGGAGGACTTCCTGCCTTCTCTCCGCACTATATCACACCAGCAAGATGCAGTGCTTGACAAGGACATGGCTGCTCTGGCTGGCACACTTCTCAGTGCTGTGCAGCGGGGTTGGCTGCTACAGGTCCCTGTTAGTGACAGATCGAGTAGCTTTGGAGGCGTTAATGATGGATCGGAGCATGGCCCTGACCTTGTCATCCTAGGAGCCACCTGCCTGTCTGTTCTCAAAGCCCTGGAAATCCAGATCCACAATGGAGAATCAGGTAATGCCTTCAACCAAAAATAATTGATTGCACTATGGCCACTAGATGGAGCTGAGAAGCATAGGAAATACTTATTTCCTAGGCTCTTCAGCGCCATCTGGGGCCATAATGTGGTATTACATTTGACCTAAAAAGAAAATACACTAAGGCCGGGTTCACACCTAGGCGTATCGAATATGCGCGTTTGTTGCGTGTTTTAACCACGATTCGTGTTAAAAAAACGTGCGACAAACACGTGTTTACGAGCGCTACTTGGCTGTATCCCAATGGAAACGCGCGACAAAACGCCCCAAAGAAGCTCCTGTACTTCTTTGGGCGTTTTGTAGCGCGTTCATACGCCCATGTGTGAACCAGGCCTAAGATTGTTCGTTTTTGCCTCTATTCACACAGAATGAACATTCACAGAGATTCACAGGGTGAATGGCTGTGCAAATTGTTAAGTAAACCCCTAAGTGATGCACAAGTTAAAAAAAAAACGTCAGCGGTGCTGTGATCTTTATGGACCATCTTCACTGTTTGCTGGATAGATTATTCCCTTCCATACTCTTGTAATCCTGGCCATATATAATACCGCCTCACCATGAATTATTTTGATGTCATGTCTTTAGTTATCATTTTTAAATGTCATGTTTTTGTAAGTAGCATTTCTGTTACTTGCATAGGTATAATATAGTGTAATTGTGTAAGCTTTGTATGCTCACGTTAAGGGCCAAAATAAATACAGCTCCCTTATAATTTCTCCTGATCCTCAGATGAACCTTTGCACACTTGGATGGTGCAGTAAGCTGGATGAACACCAGGTCTGAAGAGGTGCATTGGATGATGGGAGCTTAAAAGCATCCCGAGTGTTGATATGAACGTTATCAATAAAAGTAAACACAAGATAAGCGAAATCTCGCTTCTTGTCATTTTCCGCATGCTTGCATTGCTGTTTCCAATTTCAAGATTCCTCTGACTTGATGTGTCATGCTGGAATTGGCTTTGAAATAAAGAAACCTAAAGGTAAAGAAAATAAATGCCTAGACATTAAACAGGTCAGTATAGGAATTCTGAACAATATAAGGTAATCGCGGGACATCAGCAGACAGCAAAACAACTATTGGTCATCTTTATTATCACAAGATTCACAAGCTGTGTTATATTTCTGGGATAGTTCTGTTTGGGTGAGGGAAACAAGAGTTGAACTATTCCCTCAAGCAAATAACTAACTACTGCCTGAGTTTTATCAGCAGCAGCAAAATAGATTAACAATCACACCACCAGCCCAAAATATTATGCATATGCTAAAGTTTTGGGCTGTTCATTATATTTA